ATAAGGGAAGCTGATTTGGGAGTAGAAAATGACACAAGATGGAGGCCTTTGCCAAAATGGAGGTTTGCATCCATCTCTGTGTGCACGATTGCTACATGGTGGATGAAATCCTTTATTGGAATCCTTTACATGCAATATGGTAAGAACATGACAGCTCCAAGACAGGACAGAGGAGCAGTAGACGCGTTTCACAAGTCAGATTTGGCTTTTTGTTTCTCCACTTTTTGTGTTATATTAATACAAACAAAATAAATAAACATGACAACACCCAAACATTTGTAATTGCAAAAATCTTCTGGGCGAAGTGCTGCATTATCTGACAGAAGTGCAGGGGTGCCAATATTTTTGCCCATGACTGTACGTAGTATTAGACCCAGGGTTGACCACTGAATAGACTGAATTGCATTGCTACCACCACCAGTAACCAGTAAGATGACGATCCTGGGTAGTGCCTGAACAGAAAAGCAGATAAAGGCATTTCTGAGAGGCAATACATATCTGTAAGTGTTATGCTTACAACATTATATAGCATGCTCGCAATTAGAACAAAACTCCTGGCAGACATAAAATATTCTAATTAATGCAGCTCTGTAACCAATAACATGTCATTAAATGTTTTTTTAAATGCAGTGTTATGTAAATGAATTTGATCTGCTATCTTTTAATCCCCTGTACAGCAGAACTCAAAATGAGAGAGAGTGAGGAAGGTCAAGGAGCGAATGAGCTTTGCTGCAGTGCTCATATGCTAACAATTAACATGCTGTTAGGAGGAGAGAGCAGACTGACAGAAAGATGAGCTAATCAGTCTGCAGCTTCTTCTCACTGTCCAGTCTAAGGCTGGGGGATGGGAAGAAACCTGTAAGAGTTACAACAATGCAGCAGAGAAAACATCAGGGCTCAGGATGGGCTTTACTGCATGGTAGAGCCCTGTGAATGTCACAATTGAATGGACAGAAATATATATTTTGGCAGGTAAAACAGCTTTTATACAGTATATATATATATATATATATATATATATATATATATATATATATATATATATCTGTATCTAACGAGCAGGGCCCTCTGTTTCCTTTTGTACCAGATTGTATTGTAACTCTAATGTATACCATCATTTTGTAAAGGGCTGAGCAAACTGATGGTACTATATAAATCCTGTATAATAATAATATATTTCATTTGTGTATTAGTTGTTTGCCTGGAGTTTAACTTTCGCCATGCTGCAAATCCCAACAAGAATCTACTGATTGCACATACACAAAGTGCATCTAGCCATGATCACCACAGGTGCAATCATAAATAGCTATGGCTACTGACAGCATGACATTGCGCTGTATGGAATTGGTGGTCACAGCTATCCACACACAGTTGTAAATCCCAGCCAGAGGAATCAACAGATTCTCACCATTGGGATTCACAACACAGCTTAAAAAAACCCATGCAAAAACAAAAAACAGCCTTAAGCTCAATCTTAGAAATTCTATCTGATGCTAGGTCCCCACACATGTCCCCAAATGTAAACAGAGAAAATCAGCAAGCGCTAACAGAAATAGCAGCTATTTGCACCAAAAAGGAACTACAAGTCCTCTCAAAAAGTATACCAAGATAAAGTGCAGCGCATAAGGTAAGCCAAAAAATATCTACAAATATTTAAAACATCAAACTCATCAATCAAAAAAAACATCATGGTCAACAATCAGAAAAGAATGTTATTTAAAAGCATATAAAAGTACATATAAGCACATATGAGTCCCAGTTATTAGCTCTATGGGGTGAAGGTTCTATTCAGAGTGAAATTCCAGCAGGCTGTATGCATATGATCTAGAAGTCAGGAATAATACTTAAGGTGAGAAGTTCTCAACATCCGGTGGTGTCCGATAGGTTAGTAAGATTGCAAACTCACCAGAAGCGCAATCTTAATGCGCATTTGGCTAATATTAGACAGCCTGGTGAAATCCCTTCAATGGAACCTGGTCTGGTCTGGGGTTCCCTCCCTCTGATGGTATGGGTGTATAAGGTGATGTCAATCAGAGGTCCCTCTCATGGGTCTGGTCATAGGAAAGTTAACAAAGATCCATTATCTCCTGCGCTCAAGGACTCAGATCAAACAGGCATTAGTGACAAGCAGCGTGTTGTGTATTCATCCACTGGTGATCAGAGGTTGTGCAGCTCTATCATGAAGCTGGGGAAGCTTAATAAAACTGTAGAGGAAGATGAAAGAAAGAGCGCTCAAACCTTGCGCATTACCTCAATAAATAATGACTAATTTTATTAATAAGGAAATATACTCACAAGTGACCCACAGACCAGGATTCCCCAGGGCGTGGAGTCTAAGCCCCAGTCTGCCTTTTCACCAGAGCCCCTGATGGTGGGGATGGACTTGGCGCAGGACTGAGACCAGGTCGCGGCCCCTGAGTGCACCCAACTGTGGTAGAGGGGTCCGCCGAGGGTATGTACCGGGGGAAAGCCTGATGTGAAGGGGCTGGCAGGTTTAAACAGTAGTGACTGGATCCGTGCGGGATGGATGGATCGTCTGGGTATCGTCAGGCGTAGTCAGGCAGGCCAGGTCAGCAACGTGCGGGCAGTGAGGTACCGGAGGAGCAGGCAGAGAATAGTCAGGGTCACAAGCCGGGTTCAGTAACTCACGGGCAGCGCAGTACAGAGGATCAGGTAGAAGGATGGTCAGGCAAGCCAGGGGTTCAACAGGAGACGGTCAGCAGAGGTCACGATCAAAGCAGGGTCAGCAACTAGGCAGATAGGCAGGAACACAGGATACCAGGTACAGGGGCTCATGGGAAACATGGCACTGACTGCAGGTCTGGCCATTCCTTAAATACACCTCCTGCAATCAGCCCCAGGTGTTGGCTGATTGCAGGAGTGAGCTTCTGGCTGCTGAGAGCACCCGCTGGTCAGCCCTGGTACTGCAGCCCACACGGCAGGTGAGTCCCACCAACAGTGCTGAGTCCATTCCTGCAGATGACCCTGTTGTCCCTTAAGTACATCTCTTAATGCTGACTATAGTTCCCCCCTCTTTGAAACCTAACATTTGACATGAAAAGGACTGCCTGCATAGGGATGTACGGAACATGCCTAATGACATGAAGAGGACCATCACCTTTGTTGTACAAGCAACCCTGTACAGCTGCTCTGTACAGCCGCAGCTCTGAGTGATCTTTTACTGTTATGAATGAACAAGCAGTGCTGTTCATTCATAATAGTGACAGATCACTCAGCTTTGAGAGGGGGTGGAGCACTGTGGTGACTGTACCTCCCCCAGAGGAACACCCATCATTTCGGTTTCAAAGAGGGGGGAACTATAGTCAGCATTAAGAGGTGTACTTAAGGGATAACAGGGTCATTACTTGGGACCAAGTGCTATCTGTCCACCCCTCCATTCATAGATACTATATAATTAATATAAGCTGTACTACAGCTTCTATGTCTGGAGGAGATGGACAGAAAAGGTGGGCATAGTTGGGCTGTTTTGATGAAAGTCTGTGACAGCTCCTTAGTTGTATTAGCCCCCATACCACTGTAATGTTATGGTGGATGGGTGAGGGGGGGCATGCATGAAGGAAGATTTCTATTAACAGAAGAGAAATCAGCACAAGGGACTACTGGCTGTAGATTATGTCCCTTGTGATAATTTTTTTGTTTTTATTTTAGCTACACGTAGGCTTTAAGGATGATCCTTCTAGAAACTGTTTAAGAAGCTCAGTGTGCAATTAAATATAACAGCAGACACCTAGCACACTTTTCATTTACTGAGTTAGCAAATCTTGATGACTCTTCCACACTGTACCAGCCAGCTGGAAAGAAAAATGATTCACCAGGCATTCCAGAGTCAGCAATGTGATTGAGAGCTTAATTGGTTAATTGCTTTTAGGTTTTAAAAAAGGAAAAGGAACAAGACAGACATAATTTACATTTATTAACTGAGAATCACCCAATCTATTTCCCCTTCCAATCACTGATGTTATTTTAGTTTCCAGATAAAAGACGCCATATTTGTAAAGAATCTTTAAATGCAGTGTAATAACTTGCCTCATTTGCTATGGTGTGTGATTGTAGAGATTATTGCAGTGTCTGTTTAACAAGCAAACCACTGACTCAGGTCTATACATCTTTTCCTTGAAACAGATCCAAAAGGCTTGTTAAAATAATACGTCTGACCTGGCTCTGCCTCATAAACCCTGAAACTCACAAGAATTAACCAGGTCGCTAATCATTCAGCAGATTGGATTGGTGTCATGTTTAAAATGCAGATTGCCATACTATGGGCCCTATTCCTTGTAAAACGGTCCCTGTGATGGGATGGTAGTACAAATGCTTTAGAAGAAAAGACGCAGAATGTTATAATAATCCTTGTACTTTCAATGTGGTTTCATACAGACTTGTTCTGCATTGACCAGCATTGTTTTCAAACACTCATTTTTAAGTGGATTTAAAGTGGCATTTAGGCTAGGTTCACATCTATGCTAACCCTAACATTTAATCCAAAGCCTAGCCTGTAGCCCTAACTAACCCTAACATAATCCTAACATTAACATAATCCTAACATTTAACACTAACCCTAGCCCTTAACCCTAATTTAACCCTAACATTTAACCCTAATCCTAAACCCTAACCCTAACATTCAACCCTAACCCTAACATTTAACCCTAACCCTAACATTTAACCCTAACCTAGCCCTAAACCCTAACCCTAACATTCAACCCTAACCCTAGCCAGTAACCTTAACATTTAACCCTAGCCTTAACCCTAACATTTAACTCTAATCCTAGCCCTTAACCTAACCCTAACCCTAACATTTAACCCTAACCCTAGCCCCTAACCTTAACATTTAGCCCCTAGCTCTTAACCCCTTAACATTTAACCCTAACCCTAGCCCTTAACCTAACCCTAGCCCCTTAACCTTAACTTAACATTTAACCCTAACCCTAGCCCTTAACTAGTTGCCGACCGCAGATAGCCGAATGACGGCTGCACTGCGGCCGGCCAGTTCTGGGTGGACGTCCTACGGACACACAGCTGATCACGTGATGTGGTAAAAGGCCAATCACAGCGGCCTTTTACCACGTGATCAGCGGTGTCCAATGACACGCTGATCACAGGGAAATGCAAGTGCCGGTTCTCGGCTGCACTTTCCTCACACTGTCAGATTGTGAGGAAAGTACTGCCGAGAACCGGCAGTTGTCAGAGAGAGGATCGGCACCAATCATCAGGGCACTGATGATCAGTGCCCTGATGATCGGTGCCCAGCAGTGCCACCCGCAACCTGTTGCCGCCCGCCCACCTGTGCCAAGCAGATCACCCACCTGTGCCCAGCAGTGCACCCACCTGTGCCCAGCAGTGCACCCACCTGTGCCACTCTGCAGTGTCACACACCTGTGCCCAGAAGTGCCACCTACCTGTGCCCAGCAGTGCCACCCACCTGTGCCCACCCACATGTGCCCACCAGTGCCACCCACCTGTGCCCACCCACCAGTGCTGCCCACCAGTGCCACCCACCAGTGCAGCCCAGCAGTGCTGCCAGTCAGTGCCACCAGTCAGTGCCCAGCGGTTGTGCGTGCCAGTCAGTGCCACGTCAGTCAGTGCCCAGCAGTGATGCCAGTCAGTGCCATCTATCAGTACCCATCATCAGTGTCACCTATCAGTGCCGCCTATCAGTGCTGCATATTAGTGCCGCCTATCCGTGACACCTCATTAGTGCTGTCTATCAGTGCCGCCTATCCGTGCCACCTCATTAGTACTGCCTATCAGTGCCCTTTAGTGCTGCCTATCAGTGCCCATCAGTGCCGCCTATCAGTGCCTATCAGTGCTGCCTCATCAACGCACATCAGTGAAGGAGAAAAATTACCTGTTTGAAAAATTTTATAATAGAAACAAAGAAACTTTTTTTTTTTTCAAATTTTTTTTTTTCATTTTTTATTTATAGCGCAAAAAGTAAAGCGCCCAGTGGCGATTAAATACCACCAAAAGAAAGCTCTATTTGTGAGAAAAAAATGATCAAAATTTCATATGGGTACAATGTTGCATGACCGCGCAATTGTCAATCAAAGTGCGGCAGCGCTGAAAGCTGAAAATTGGCCTGGTAAATAAGGGGGTATAAGTGCCCGGTAGGCAAGTGGTTAACCCTAACTTAACATTTAACCCTAACCCTAGCCCTTAATCCTAACATTTAACCCTAACCCTAACATTCAATCTTAACCCTAGCCCTAACTTAACATTTAACCCTAACCCTAACATTTAACTCTAATCCTAGCCCTAGCCCCTAAACTAACTTAACATTTAACCCTAACCCTAACGTTTAATCCTAACCCTAGCCCCTAACTTAACATTTAACCCTAACCCTAAACATTTAGCCCTAAACCTAGCCCTTAATCCATACTTAACATTTAACCCTAACCCTAACATTTAACTCTAATCCTAGCCCTTAACCCTAGCCCTAACATTCAACCCTAATCCTAGCCCTTAACCCTAACCCTAGCCCCTAAACCCTAACTTAACATTTAACCCTAACCCTAACGTTTAATCCTAACCCTAGCCCCTAACTTAACATTTAACCCTAACCCTAACATTTAGCCCTAAACCTAGCCCTTAATCCATACTTAACATTTAACCCTAACCCTTGCCCTAGGTCTTAACCCTAACATTTAACCTTAATCCTGACATTTAACCCACACCCTATCCCTTAAACCTAACGCTAACGTATAACCATAAACCCTCATGCTAACATTTAACCCTAACCCTTAACCCTAACCCAGCCCTTAACCCTAACATGCGGCTTCGTACACATAAGGGTTCCTGCACTACTTTGATGCAACTTCGATGCTACTTCAGTGCCAGAGAGTGTAAAGTCACATCAAAGTCAAATGAAGGCACACATGAACAGAACTGTACTACTTTCCTATTAGCCAAAAAAAAAAGCACAAAATGCATAAAAAACACATCAAAACTTAAATTTTGGTGCGGCTCCATTGAAGTCTATTACAGGCAAAACATAATCTGCTGCAGGAAAAAAGTCCCTGACCTTTTCCAAACTATGCATGTCTCGAAAAGAACAGATGCAAACTACATAAGTAGGAAACAATATTAAGTAGACTGTTGTGTGTTTTTGCAAAACGCACTAAAAATGCATAGGTCACCCCCCCCCAAAAAAAAAAAAAAAATATATATATATATATATATATATATATATTGTAGTTCACTATCCTTAAAGCTTCAGTTTATTTTTTTTGTTCTTTAAATTAGCACCAGGGATGGTCCTTACATTGAATGTGAAGTGTAATTTTGTTGAAATCTTCATTCCTCTGCCCCACCTATACTCCCACAGCTGTGATCTTTCAGTGCTGAAGGAGTTAATACAAGCTGCTGAACCTTTCACAAACACTGTTTAAAAGCACTGATTATGCCCATCCTTTACACCCCCTGCTCCATTCATGAAAGCTTTACTATCCCTGCAATTAAAAGGGCTTTATGTATGGATAAACTATTACTAACTACACAGTACCCATTCAGTATGTGCACCACACAAATCACAAAAATGTTCATATCACAGTATGAAGAAAAAATGTGCTTTGCTTCTGCATATAAAGACATGCTGGTAGGTAAAATGGCTTTGGTCTGAATAAACCCTAGTATGTATAAACATGTGAAGTAAGGACTAGATTGTAAGCTTCTTGAGGACAGGGACTGATGTGAATCAGGGTGTATTTACTGTGAGGCAAGCAAGGCATTTGCCTAGGGCGGCATTTTTTAGGGGGCCCCCCCTTCCCCCGGCAGAAGTGACACAGGACGCAGAGTGATATGAGTGCTGGGACTGGGAGCAGCCGGCGCTCAGCTCTGCTCATTGTGTGTGCAATGGGAAGATGGACCAAAGCAGGGTCCATCGTCAGGGGCACCGGAACTGACACCGCACCAGATACACTGATCTGCAGCTCTGTGACCAGCTGGCTTCCAGCAGAGCGCACCAAAGCCGCCTCCCTCTCCTCCGCTGTCTACATGTACAGGAAGAGGAGGTGGGGGGGGGGGGGGGAGAGACATCACTGTGCATGTCTGTGCTGATCTGAGGTCTGTACCAATTTTTGTATATTGTTCCTGGGTAGAGGAGGGGGACAGAGTGACCGGAAAGGGGGGGAGTTAAAAAAATAAGTGATTGGGGGATTGAGGATATGTGCTGGGGGGCAGGGCAGCACTTTGGGAGGGAAGAGGATCTATGCTAGAAGTTGGTTTTGAATTTGAAATCCAACCCCACACAAGAGCACAAGCCCTCTCCCCTCCCAAAGCGCCCCCCAGTACATATCCGACCCACCATCACCTCCCTACTAGCACAAGTGGAGGGGTGTCTGTACTGAGAGAGGGGGGTCTATAATGATGGAGAAGGGTCTGTACTTAGTGGGAGGGGGGTCTATACTGAGAAAGGGGGGGATCTGGGAATGAGGTCTGTACTGAGAGTGGAATATACCTGGTGGGAGGGGGGGTCTATACTTGGTGGAGTAGGGGTCTGTACTGAGGGGGGGGGGTCTATACTTGGTGAAGAGCAGGAGAGTATTTACCACGAGGCAGAATTTTTTCAGGGGGGGGGCAGTATCACTGGGGCAGGGACGTGGGGGGGGCGGCAGTGGTCGATTTTTGTGTTGCCTAGGGCAGCACAAAACTTAAATACACCACTGATGTGAATGCACAATACATAGAAGCGCGCATAAATTGTTGGTGATATATAAATGCCGGCAATAAATAAATAAAATACAAATCCTAATGGGTAATAGGGATAATGATAGAGCTGTGATTTACTGTAGATATAGGTTAGGATACCAAAAATGATGAGGAAAATATTTGGTCAAGGTACAGTTGCAAACATGGTGGTCATGCAATGGCAGAAGGGGGAGAAAAGACACAGTACAGTGGGATGGTGGAAAACACACATACATCTTTATGTGACAAGGTCAAAGCATGGTGGGTGGTGGGAGCATTCACTGGTTGTTTATATTGGCGTTTCATTTTTAAGGTGCATGGATCCCTGATGAAAAGCATGCATCACGTTAGCAACTTTCCTGTAGGACTATGGAAGTGACTTCTCCTCTAACTCATTGGCACCACCATATCAATTATATGTTAGTGCTATGATCTAAAGTTTAATGTGCTTGGCCTAATTGGGGTTCCCTGGGTCTCTCAGGGGTAAAAACATCCTTGTTTCTAGTAAAGAGATCCAATAGTTCCATATTACATATAAGCTTCCACATTTGTAGCTCGTATGACTGGTGCTATTAAAGAACTATAGGCCTATAGAAATGGAAGGAGAGCAGTGGATGGAGGTCCTAGCCATGCAAACTCAATGACAGTCAATGACAGTGATTCCTTTTGTAAGAAAGGCTTGTCTTCAGTTTTGGAACTGATTTTGTTTCAATAATCTATTTTTATCTGTGGAAATGAGATGTTTACTTACATTACCAACAACCAAACTTTTGCTTAAGAACAGCACAATAGCAAATGGTTAGCAAAATAGCTTAGTGGTTAGCACTCCCACCTTGAAGCAATGGGGTTCTTGGTTCAAATCCCAACCAGGATTCTACCTGGGTGCAGTTGTGTTGGTGTAGGTAACCCCCTACCCTCCAAAGACTTGCTGGTAGATTAATTAGCTCCTGTCTAGATTAGCCCTATATGCATGTGAGATAGGAAACTTGAGTTTGAGCTCCTTTGGGGCAGCCACAGATGTGACTGTACAATATGTAAAGTGCTGTATAAAAATAATGAGGAAAGTTAGAGACATATCTTTCAAACCAGGAAGCTTTATCAGTTCATCAAGAGGCATGTCAAGTTCCATTAGGCTGGATAAAGAACATCGGAGGGTAATACAGATCACTGGTCCTGCAAGAATACAATTGTGTCCAATATTTAACCTTAGAGAGTAATTTTATTTAGGGCTCGTGTATGCGGGCCATTTGGAAAACTCTTCTAACCACTGGAAACTGACTGCTAGAAAACGTAGATTAAAAAACGTCAGTTTTGCCGCGTTTGCATACCATGTGTTTGCGTTTAGAAGCTTTTGTAAAAGATAACCTTAGGAGACCTTCCCAAATGCCCAGAATGCAATGAAAAATAGTAAAAAATTAACTATTTCAGACATTTTGAGAGAATTAGAGAGAGCAGAAGCAGAGAGAGCAGTATGTGTTGAGATGACCGGTCGTTTCTGGTTGTATTCACTACGGATCCCATCATGAGCATAATGCGGCACGTTCTGCGATTATTTTCCTTCACGCGAAACCTGGAACTGACTGCGCTGGTGTACTAGGTTTATTTAAATACATGGAAAACTCTTTGCATGCATTTTTGATGAAGAAAAAAGGCTCTGGACAGCATCTGGATATGGACCTGTCAAAAAAAGCGTCTACACGCAAACGCTTGTACACGCAGTTAACCACGTTTAGAAGCGTTTGGCGTTTGAAACACCGGTAAAATCTACTCCTGAATGCAATTTTGGTGCGTTCAAAAAAACGACTGTAAACTCAACTGCCTGTAAATGACTGTAAACAACTGTGTGTACATGGGCACATAGGAAAACATTAGGGAGAGTTCAGGGCAGGGGCGGACTGACCATATGGAAACTCGGGCCCGGGGTCAGTAGGGGGCCCCATGAGATGCCCCTGGTACCTTTTTCATAGGCTTTTTTGAGTTTTGGGCAAGGACACAGGGGCCCCATGATCCCCTATTGCCCGGGGGCCCCATGAGTTGTCAGTCCACCCCTGGTTCAGGGGATGCTGAAAAAAAAACGCTCAACAGCTCCTGAACACCAGTTTAGCAGCTGCAGTGTGCATGAGCCCTTAATCTTGAGAACTTTCTTTTTAAGAATCGATTACACGTCTACTTCCAGCAAGTTTTTTGTGCATTAAGATCTGTCCTGAGTGTTATTTTGCAGTGAGCTCAATGCTCCTTTTTCCAGACAGAGAGGCTATAGCTCACATTCCTCTACACAGACATAGGCTATGTGTGCAGCACATGTGATTTCCTCAGTGATGATGTGGCACTTTAAGAAATACACCGCTAAGCTGATCTCCAGCTCTGGATTAGACACACGTAACTGTGAAACAAATTGCACTGAAACAGCTGACCTCATCTTTCAGAGTCTATAAAAGTCCAATCTTTGATCAGGTCGGGGAATGATGCAGCCTGGCTCCCTCCTTTCTCTCTAGTGTGCATGTGGCACACATTTCCTTCAAACTTTTACTGTAACTCTGCGTAGATTTTAAATGGGAATGAAACCAATCGTAAGTAGACATAGGAAACAAACATTTTTGTGCATGATGATCAGTATTGAGTACGGCAGAACAGAATAGGTTCAACTGCGTAAATTCCCCACTTTCACAATGTGCAAAGCTGCAGACACTTCAAGAGGATAAATTTTAAATAGCAATTAAAAGTTGCGCTAAGTGTGAAAGAAAAAGATTCTATTAAAAATGAATCAATCGTGTCAACAACTATACATACACAGTACAACGTGCAAATTAATGCCTTTAAGTGGTATCATATACGATCCATATAAGGAACAATACAATGTTCAAAGTCCACGTGAATGACAGCTTCCACAAACACTTTGTGATAAAGAACATGCATTTCTTGAGTGCAATATTGATCTTCTTTTCATCCAATAAATCACCAATGTGAATGGACCACCACCATATGTGTAAAATGGAGGCTTACCAAATGAGAAGACCCCTTGCTATAGGGGGTCTGATAAAGTTCTATATATATGTAACTCTGCCCAAACCTCTATGTTGTAACTGGGACCCAGATTCCACTTAGGTCAGTAAACTCTTAGATTGTAAGCTCCAAGGAGCAGGGCCCTCCTAACCCTCTTGTGCTTCAAAAAAGGTCTGGATTCTTTCTTAGATACACAGAATATAACTGGATCAGGGGCGGACTGACCATTTGGAAACTCGGGCACTGGCCGAGGGCCCGGGGTCAGTAGGGGGCCCCATGAGACGCCCTTGGTACCTTTTTCATAGGCTTTTTTGAGATTGCCCGGGGGACCCATGAGTTGTCAGTCCGCCCCTGAACTGGATACTAACATTTATAGGTAAAGCTGATCCAGGGAATATCCAATTGCCTCTCGGGGGATCAGGAAGGAATTTGTTTTCCAGCAAGAGCAAATTGGATCATGCTTTCCTGGGGTTTTTTTTTGCCTTCCTCTGGATCAACTGTGGGTATAGGATTATAACTTTTTTTTTTTTCGATGATTGAACTGGATGGACTTTTGTCTTTTTTCAGCCAGACTAACTATGTAACTATTGAACTGTATTGTTGCTGTATTGTCTCCCATTATATTGTAAACCGCTGAGCAAACTGTTGGCACTATAGAAATCCTGTATAATATTAATAATAATAATGCCATTCTCATAGGAGAACCAAGACAGTGTCATGTAAAATAAAACATGTCTCTCAGTGTAGTAAAAACGAATGTGCCTTTATTGCGCAAGTAAAAGCCTACTTACAAAACATAGAAGGAATATCAGCATTCAAATACAGCTTCCAAGATGGAATACAGCATCATGGATGGGACTAATTTCTCAATTTTTCTGTGCTTCCCATTCTGCAACAACATCACCTCCTTATTTCTGCTGTTTCCCTTGGAGTGGCTAAGTGGAAATCCCAATCTGATGTTCAATGAGTGGGGTGGAGAAAGAGTGACAGTTCTGGCATTCCTTGAGACGCAGGCACAATGCAACAGTAATCAAAATCACAGGAAAGGGCTTCAGAATCCAGAATACTTGCCAACTATACAAAAAATCTCACAGTCACCAAATTCTCACAGCCACCAAACCTGCCTTGGAAGTTTGAATATGATTAGTGATGCATATGAGAGAGAAAGTAACAGCACAAGCTGCAGTATGTACAGTCCTATTGCCTGTCTGTGGAACTACGTATATACTCTACAAGGGGTTACACAAAACTCAGATAGAAAGAAATGAATGAACTTCCTTACTTTAGCACCGCTGCTGGATAGCATTCGTAGCTCACTGAATGCTTGCACTTGTTGCTTTGAATTTCTCCTAAATACTTAGTTACTAAACCCACAACAGTAAAAAACAGTCTGTAAATGCAGTAAAGCATGCTTGTTATACTCACTGTGGTTTTTCCTCCGCATTGTGTAGAAAGGCTTTTTGATTCTGTTTTCTCTGATCCTCCCCTACTTCTACTGTCTCCAATCCATGTCCTGATAGTACAGAGCTCTAGGTGTCACTCTGCATATGCTCAGTTTAGTGTGTATTGCTAGAGAGTTTGTTTTTTCCTTTGGGAGGGTGTATGTGATCAGCATAGGGCCAATCAGCACTGTCCAGACAGAGGGTGAGTGGTTATGCAAAGGACAGTCAGAGCAGAATGAAAACTCCTCCTACAAGCTATAACCAGTGCTCAGCCGGACACTGATAAAAGTCACATGGCTGCTATATACTGCTGATAAGCAAAGGTATTTAGAAGTTTATATTTACTACAAAAATGGCATTTCCATGTAGTTTGTACTGTGAAGACCAAATATAGTGAATGCAGGGTCCTGGGTTTAGTAACACTTTCATGCAAATTATTTTAGTACTTATACATACATATAAAATCAACTAGAGAATTGCTGACAGAGAAATCACTAATATATTTACAAAGAGAACAGCTTGAGAGCACTTGGGAGTATTTTTATTTTTATCCACGTATGGAGGTGTAATGCTCAAATAAGTTTTGATCCACGCACAGGAAACCAAGCCTGTCTCAGACAACATCCTGTGTAGCTTGACACATATTGCGGTGTGTAGTCCTCAGTCCTTCTTGCCATTCATACAGTGCTCTAACTGGAACATGCTGGTCATGAATTTGTAACCTCCAGCATAGGCACCTTTTCGGCTTCAAATTAAATCAAATGCCAAATGAACATAGCCTGATAATACATACATTTTTTGGTCATTTTTATTCCAAGTTATTTTTCATTTACTATTACTTTATCTTTGATGACTTCTGGCTATTGGATGTCTAAGTCAAAATTGAATTATATCAATAATGTTAAAACTACATGCTTTTATTGAAATCCTTATTGAAGAGGTTTGAAAAATCATAGCATAGAATCTCAAGCAATCGTTTATCATACAATTAAATATTGCATGAAGAATTATACATAACCCTTGCTGGTCCAGCTGGAACAACTCATATTAACAATGTCCAAAAGGAATGGTTTGTTCTATTTGGACCACTGGGGATTATTTTTAGTTGTATATATGATTGTATGTACTCTTTATTTTTTTTAATTTAAATACATTTAAATAAAATAATTTAAAGAAAATTAATGTAGTTTTAGAATAGTATATATTGATTTGTTACTATAGATTGATGATAATCAACTTTTGAGGTATAGGGGGCCTCGATTGCGGTTCTTGACACCACCATTGGGTTTCATGTCATTTTTAGTATACACTATATTGGCAAAAGTATTGGGACGCCTGCCTTTAGTCTTAGTCTGTAGGGTTCAATATTGAGTTGGCCTATCCTTTGCAGATATAAGAGCTTCAACTCTTCTGGAAGGCTGTCCACAAGCTTTAGGAGTGTGCCTATGGGAATGTTTGACCGCACTTCCAGAAGTGCATTTGTGAGGTTAGGCACTGATGTTGGACAAGAAAGTCTGGCTCGCAGTCTCCACTCGAATACATCCCCCAGGTGTTCTATGGGGTTGAGGTCAGGACTTGCTCATCCATGCTTTATGGACCTTGCTTTATACACTAGTGTGCAATCATGTTGGAACAGGAAGAGGCCATCCCCAAACTGTTCCCACAAAGTTGGAAGCATGAAATTGTCCAGAATGTCTTGGTATGCTGACTCCTTAAGAGTTCCCTTCACTGGAACTAAGGGGCCATGCCCAACCCTTGAAAAACAATCCCACACCATAATTCCCCCTCTACCAAACTTTACACTTGGCACATTGCAGTCTGCCAAACCCAGACACATCCATCAGATTGACAGACAGAGAAATGTGATTCATTACTCCAGAGAACACATTCTACTGCTCTAGAGTCCAGTGGTGGCGTGCTTTACACCACTGCATTCAATGCTTTGCACCGCACTTGGTGATAGAAGGCTTGGATGCAGCTGCTTGGGCATGTAAACCCATTCCATGAAGCTCTCTACACACTGTTGTTGTGCTAATCTGAGGGCCACATGAAGTTTGGAGGTCTTTAGCTATTGACTCTGCAGACAGTTGGTGACTTCTGTGCATTGTACGCATCAGCATGCTCTTACCCCACTCTGTCATTTTACATGGTCTACCACTTCGTGGCTGAGCTGCTGTTGTTCCCAGTTGCTTCCACGTTTTTATAATACCATGGAATATTTAGTAGCAAGGAAATGTCATGGATGGACTTATTACACAGGTGGCAACCTATCACAGTACTACACTTGAATTCACTCCTGAGTTCATAAGAGCAACTAATTTTTTCACAGCATGCCTAGGTGCTTGATGTTTACACCTGTGGCCATGGAGGTGATTGGAACACCTGAATCCAATGATTGGAATGATTTGGAGGAGTGTCCAATACTTTTGAGATTGTAGACATCTTTCATGACATGGTCATAGACTGTAGTTGTGCTGTGGAAGGAAATAGGAGACTTGCTGCAGGAAATTTTCAAAGAGTGGAGACTTGCAACCTGTCACCAGTCATCCCACTACCTTTACTGACTTCTGGGGTCAAAAAATGAACCAAAGGGTCACATATGATGTTTAGAGTGCAGGTTGGGCATCAGGGCTATCGGTCATTCTAACTCTCAAGACATATTGTAATCTTTTAAATCAGGGGTCTCCAAACTTTTGAGCATGAGGGCCACATCATTTAATTTACAAATATTCATGAGTCAAAAGAAATCAGGATCCCCATCAGAGTACCCCTTACATCAGTGTCACCATCAGGGTCTCCCCTCAGATATTGTTCATCATTAGAGTTCCCCTTACATCAGAGTCAGAGAGCATTGCTGTATAAGCAGGGCAGGAGCCCAGAGGCAGAGCAGGTCTGGATGGAAGTTCCATCCTCCTGTAAATACTGGGGCAAACAGCACATTGCTAAATTGCAAGGGAGGTCCATCCAATGGCAGGGATGATGACAGAGTGGTGGTGGGGAACCCGCACTGGAGATGGCAGACAGGAGATTAGGGGAGGAAAAACCATAGGCAGCCTCTGCTGACCTGAATCCTCATATTGTGGAGCATGTGGCACATTGAGGATATGCCACTGACCCTAGCTATGGACCAGATAAAATCTTATAATGAACTGGATGTGGCCATAGTTTGGACCCTCTGTTATACCACATATGAGAAGGATCTGATACAGCATTAGAGGTTGGATTTATCTCTCCTAATTTATCTATTGACAATGTTCATTTTTGATGACTGAAACAACTTATTAGAAATCCCCCATATCAGTAGAAAGGGATAAGTGGTTTGCTTATACTTATTGATATGGACGAGAAGGATACAAAGTGAATACCCTTACATGCAGTAGCCCATCGTTTATTGGAATCCTTCTATTCCCATGAAACACTTCCAGTTTATGACTTTCTGGCTGTTCCAATAAAGAGTGGGGCACCGTTAGCAAGTGTTTTACTAGCTAATAAAACTTGGTTGCTTTAGGGGATGTTTTATTTGTTTATTTCACTGTGTATGCCTGCTTTGAAATGGACTAAACACTTCAGTAAACAGAGGTAATTAAATTCAAAGGCAGCTGCTAAAAATACACTCTTACCTGGAGCTATATGAAAAGGTCTGCCAAGGTAAAACAAAAAAAGGCAAAAGAACATACTGAAGTCATTTAATACAGACTGAATGTAGCGTTAATAGAAAATTCTAATTTTTTTCCATCATTCTGATCATGAAGAAATTATCTGTAATAACAAATCATTTGTTTTCTTGCATGAAACTGCAAACAAACTCCCTTTTTCTTTGTTTTGTATAGAATTGGGAATGGTTAGAACCCCTTTCAGGGTTTACTGCTATCCAAGGCTCACTTTCTGCTATGGGGACAATGTTTTACCAGGCGGGAGTGAGGGAACATCTGCAACAGGGAAAAAAATAAAAAAATAAAAAGCTGATAGGGGTTCTAGCAGTCCCCTACGTAAGCAGACCTTCCCCCCTTCACTAAAAAAATCACATGAGCATACATGC